CTGATTGAGGGTGGTATACCCGATGCTTGCAGATAGATGCAGATAGATGCAGACAGATGCAGGATGCTCAGCTTTCAGGCGGCTAGACTGGAAGCCGAGACAATATGTATATGCTGTCAGATTGTTAAGTTGACGTATGGGCGTCGAGGCGCTTCGCGAACTATGCGTAAGGATACGACGATGACATGCTGCTTTTACCTCGCAGCATTAAAAGCATTAAAAGCATTAAAAGCTTTAATCTTGGATTGGTTTCTTCTGTCGGTCGGTCCGGCACTCCGTCATACCTATCTATACCAAGTGATTCCTTAAAGCCATGGGACTCGAAAAGATTTCTACCATGGTGATAGGCACTCTAGGTGAATAGCCATAAATAGCCACCAGATGCAAACAGCGACGTCATCTGTCATCGTGGCTCCTGGCTGTGTAAGCCACTTTACGTGTAGGCGTGCGTATGTATGTAGGTACGTTGGTCGGCAGCTGTCAACTTGTCTTGTGTGACCTGTGACCTGTGTGCACTTCCGGCTGGGCTCGGAGTGGCGTGGGATGGGACAGGATGGGACAGGATGGGATGGGGTGGGACGGGGTGGGATGGAATGATGTCACGTGCTTTACACGTGATTGCTCCTCTACCGGATCGGGCTAGCCCGACAATCTTCCGACAATCCGCCTCTCCGAGCATCGAATGCCAATTTGCTGCTGTTGCCCATCGTGAGGTTCGCTAGTCACGCATATCTTCAATTGACAACGCCTGTCATCATGAACGCCCTCCGCGTCGCCCGCGCAGCTCTGCGAGCCCGCCCCGCTGCCATGCGGCTCCCCATCCAGACTCTGCAGCGAAGGGGCTACGCCGATGCTGCCCCCGACAAGGCTCGTCTCACAGAGTAACCGAAGAGGTGGTGCTCCGCTAACATTGACATTGCGCAGATCAAGCTAAGCTTGTCTCTCCCTCACCAGGTACGATAGCCTCCAGCAATGCGATAGCGTCATGTCTGCCCTCAGTCCACCATAGCTCCCACGGCCCCGTCTAATATGCCAACGTTAGACGACCTCGCTGCCGGCCGACCATGCTAATTCCCGCAATAGTCCATCTACACATCGCAAGATGTCGTCCAGGTCAACATCCCGGCCGAGTCTGGTGAAATGGGTGTCCTTGCGAACCACGTCCCTTCGATCGAGCAACTGAAGCCTGGCCTCGTCGAGATCATCGAGGAGAACGGCGCCAGCAAGCAGTATTTCCGTACGTACATCCACACACATATGCACGGCGAAAGTGGTATTGGGCGGTTCACTAAAGTCCCATACCAGTCTCTGGTGGCTTCGCTACCGTCCAGCCAAACTCTGTTTTGAGCATCAACGCCGTCGAGGGCTACCCCTTGGAGGATTTCAGCGCCGAAGCTGTCCGATCCCAGATTGCTGAGGCACAGAAGGTTGCCAGCGGCAGTGGCAGTGAGCAGGATATTGCCGAGGCCAAGATCGAGTTAGAGGTAAGATTCGTGCTAGATGCTTGCTTTATGCTTTGTTTTACTAATGGTATCAGGTCCTGGAGAGCTTGCAAGCCGTACTGAAATAGACTGTATAGAGAATAGTGATCAGGCATCAACTTGTACATCAGAATAATTCCCTACAATTCCCAAGAGCGAAGCGTAACGGTTTTGATAATGTTGACGTCTACACCTGCGGCTACCCTTCGTTGTGAATGCGCCTACTTGCCATACATGCCGCGGTTACCTTGCCTAAGAGCTTCTCACTGGTCACTACCCATATTGTATTTCAACAGACCGCCGAGATTACGCACGCTTAGGTTTTCTCACTCGATACTAACATATAGTCCAGTAACCAACAATAGATATTGGGACTACAGACATATTATCCAAAATCTTATCTGGGGAATAATGCGCTGCTTACGGGCTACCTGAACCGCCTACGAAATATTGTTCATCATGTCTTTACGCTCGCAAGGGTGTGCTCCGAGTGCCGCGAACAGGCGGGGCAAGACTGACGGTTCTGGCTTCGATAATCCGATTCCTATTGGGACCGTTACATCACGGTTGCGCCAGTTAGGCGCATTTTCTAACCATCCCAACTCATCGTTCGAAAACCCCGACTCCGCCGAACGCGAACGTGTGAATACAGGTGCCGGTTAGAGACGTCCATCACACTCCCCGTTTACGGGCCCTTCAACCCATTATTTAGATGCCCCGGACTTCCAGACGCTTCCCGGTTCCCATATATTTGTCTTCCACAACTACGGGCGGGATAGACATGGTACGGATCGAGCGCAGAAATCCGGAGTCCAAGCACCAACCCCGCTACAGCCTTTGTCATGCCGGAAGAGTTTTTCTATAGGTCACCTATGTAATAAATTTGGCCTCACCGAAATCCATTCGTCTACTGGACAACATGTTTCCAACGCCATCAAAGAAACTCAGTTCAATCCAACTCGTACGCACTTGCCACCACCTAATAATGGCGAGGCACAGCCCTTCACAAACCCCTTATTTCTCAAAGTGCCACAGAACTTGCCATTAGTTTCACGGAGCTTGCGCCAAACCCCGGATATCGAACGATGGAGGTCAGCCCGCGATATATTCACACAGTACGATATCAGCAGACCCTCTGGCTGGCTTTCAGATATTGAGGGCCTATCTCTATCAGGGGATGGAAATGCCAGCCCCCGAAGATACAGCCGGTATTGCCACATCTGCTCAGTTCCTACTTTGGCTCCAACTCATTGCTCGTCCTGTGGACACCGCCTTTGTGAAAGGTGCAAGTGTGAGGTGTCCAGTGGCACTCCGCAGGCTCATACCGACTTCTCACCTCATCCAAGCCCTACCATGGTAAGAGATGGGTCCCAATATGCATCCACCGTCGAGAAGCAGAATCACGACCACGTAGACTCGCAAATTCATAGACCGTTCAACCTCCGTGCTGATACCAGCTGGCGAAAGGATGAGGGGCGTGGAAAAGAAAAAACATTATCCGAGATACATTCTCCAATCACTAGCAGTCATTCGGACATGAGCGAACGACAGTCTGGCCAAATTCAGGCTCAATCAATAAGGCCTATTAAGAAAAATCCATTTGTCGTGAAGGATAATAAGGATAAGGGACAAGGGACTGGCCATGATGTTTCTTCACATCCTCTAAATCAATCAGAATGTGACAATCCCATGTGCAAATCAACCTATACCGGGCACTATCCCTTTCGACATAGTGGCTCCTACTCCAAATACGGAAGTGAGCAGAGTATAAAGGCGTTGGATCCGGGCGGTATTTCAAATCTGCCTCCCAAGGCTGCAAATGAAAAGTCTGACTTTAGTAAAAATCTTGTCCCAGGTGAAGGCGACGTCCCTCATCGCCACCACTCTGCCGGCTTCCATAGCTATGATCATATAACAGAACACCTTTCCTCGGCAATCGGTCATAATGCTCAAGATCTTCTCGAAGGTCGCATTGGAAAAGAGACTGGACCCATCTCGTCCAAGACAAGCGTCAAGCGCAGCCCGTATCTTCAGCCTCTCACAAAACTCAAGCCAATCACACGAGTTGACTCATTTCAGTGGACTCAAGATACTGTCCTCCCGGGCCACCCGGGAGGTGATGGGAGGCAACAACATTCTTCGATGACAGAAGTTGCAGCAATAACGCCAAATCGTCAGCCTCATGAAACTAGCAACAAGGAGACTACACACACGGCAAGACATACAACGTTGGAGGAAGCTACCATCGCTACCATTCCCCACGAACACAAGGAAACACTAAATGGCATGAACTTATCTCAGCGCGATAATAAAACTCGTAGGACTCGACCCATCAGCACACCGCCATGGTTAAGAAATCCCACTAAGGAAGCAGCCGACGCTACCGCTCAACTACACCACGTTAACACAAAGAGTAACGTGCATACGAACGGCCACAAGCACACCCCAAACATCACCGTTGATGACCCGAGAGGGCACCCGACTGTTCGCTCGACGAGCCCCGTCCGCAAGGCAGGCACACCCGGAGGACATCGTTTACCCCCAATAAGAACGCATAATTCATCCTCTTTGGTACCGGAGGCCCCGGGGCCATCCCATGTAACACCCAAGATACAAATTAACCAGGCCCCTTCTGAGCACACGCAACGGTATAGCCCAGTTTCAGTGTCGAAACGACGCGAGACTTTTGAATCCGTGCAAGATCATCAAGATACGGCTTTTCCGGCAAAGAACGCGGGCCGTATCGGCAAGACGCTTCCTCGGCAAGTTCGACGTGAAGGGGCATCTTCTACAACGCGGAGTGGACTATCGCAGTCGCTTATAGAAAGATAGGAAGCCAAGGATATGCACCTGCGCTCAAACACTCGGCTTGGCCAAGAAGAAAACGCCACCCCTAGACCCCTAGATTCACACCTTCGTCGGCCAGGGACTAATAAATCCTTTATGTCCACAACCTATAATAGATCCGACCAAGAATTTGGGCCGAAGTATTTCGCCGAGCAGTCGTCCGGGCCTGAAATCGCTAAGCCAACGCCCATCGCTCCCCCGAACCATGAATGTGACTGGAAGGAAAAGTATCTGGTCCTGGCGACCGAGATCCGTCAGCTCAAGGCCGAGATGTCGACCCGTGCTTCACTCAAGAGTTTGGACATTCCCACCCCTAAGCACGAAGAGCGCGGGAACAACCTCGATATACTGGCGGCCACTATTATCTTACACTCCAGAGACAGAGATGACATCGTGATCAACACGGATGTGTCGCGAGATGGAGGGTCTAGGTCAAGGAAGAAGAGCTCTAACTAAAGATTAGGGTTGTTGCATGAAAACTTTAAATAAAACATTAATTAGGTAGGTTTACACTATAGAATTAAGATAATTAATTACTTTAAGTTTAAAATCAATAAGTGGTAAGTAAATATTCATTACTAATAAAGCAAAGCAATAAAGTATATATGTGTTTTTGAAAAAAAAAAAATTTAAGACTGACTATAAATAAAGCAAAAGATTAATTAGTATTTACTCCGAATCGGGGAATCGAACCCCGGGCTTGACGGCACCGCACTGCTCCTAGGGAAAGAGGATGATGAGAGCGTCAAATGTTAGCCACTACACCAATTCGGATAGTAAGTAAAGTTAGGGAAACTAGAAGCGAATTATCTGCCCACTAGCGGAATCGAACCGCTGATCTTGTCATGGCATCCAGTGTACAAGATCTCGAAAGCGAGTCTTGTGTTTACTAGTGACACGCTATACCACTTAGCCAAGCGGGCGAATTTTCTTTCCAGTTGTTAGGTGCCGCCGGTCTTAGTGTTGGTATTATCGGAGCGTTCAGCTACACCATGCTAATTAATCAATTGAATGATACGCTTGTTTTGGCCGTTTGCCCCCGTGTTTTATGTTGGATTCGTCTCCTAGCGGGCTTATTTGTCGATGGATCGCTTGCTGGTGATGATTGCGTCTTGTTCTTTGCGACAGGGCGGGGGTGCGTGGATGGAGTTGTGGTTTATCCGTGTACGGTAGTGACTGAAAGCGCAATGGAGGCGAGCTGGAAAATAAAGTGAATAGATCACCTCTGAGTGCCCTAGTCAATTGAATACACAACTTATACAAAGATATTATTCCTAACATGAATTTATCTTTTGTTTCGTTAAAGTTTACATGAACTCTCATGCCTAGCTTAACGAAAGACGGTCTCGTGGACATGTGTATATAGAGGAAGGGTACTATATCAGTAGGGGAACAAGTAATTGGCAGTTTTTAACACGATCCTTATGCTGGGCTCATGTACTAGTTCGGGTAGCATTGAGAACCGATGATGATTGATAAATGACCGAGCAGGTAAATACTGCTTAGTCGCAGTTCATCATGGCGATTGCTCCATCTCCTTTGCTACATGTAAGCAGGCAACTAACAACGAGTAAAATGATATTGTCTATATTTATTCTAGTACTTTCGTACATAGGTAGGGTATGATGGTTTGGATAGGCACTTTTTTAAACGCTCGATGAGAATAAACTATGAGTGGTACTATCGGGTCCAGTAGTTAAAAGTCTTTGCGAGACTCAGCAGAGAATAAAAAAAGTCAATTAGAATGAAACCCTTTTCTAGATGAATGGCATTCTTAAGTTACAGTGTATTAATAGAAGAATCCTTGTAATTGACTTCCATGAATATCAATAAAAGTGCCTTGTATGGACCCCCCCAAAACGAAACCAATTTCTATTGTCCCCCAGTCTATCCGTGTGAACCATCAAAACAAGTACCCTCTAACCTAAGCCCAATGCTTTTTTTCTTTTGGATATTTTATAACGTTAAGCACCCTTGACCAACCCACTCATTTTAATTCCAAACAAGAACCTCAAGCAAAACAACAAAAATTGAATCAACTGCCCGCTGCAGTAGTACTGCCTCACAACTTAGAGATTCGATAATGTCACGAACGACGGCGACGTGGCCGATAAGCCAACCCCCGCGTAACGTCCATGCCGACTGGCACGAAGGTAGATTTGTATCCGCCAATGACCGAAATACGTTGGGGCACAAATTCCTCGGCCTGGTACGGGATTCCCTCTTCCTCCGCACGCTCCTCCTCGAGCGCCGCGATGCTTTTCACTTTGGCGAAGTCGCCCTTGATCCCCGTAGGCTCCTCGCCCCATATCTCGAAAAAATAGCTGCCGTCTGCACAGGACGTGGTGTTAGCCATGGTCATTCGGGATCTGGAACCCTGCGAGGAGTACTAGGGTTGTATTGTATGGGATGCCGCAACAGATAGAGGCAAATTGTGCTTGAAATTGGGCGAAGTAGACCTCGATATTTCGGCAGACTGCGGAATAGGAGAAAGGTCGAGGGTGTCACTTACGCTCTGCGTACGTCCTCGCGCTGATGGGCGTTGCTGGTGCCGGTTTACCCGTCACGGCGGCAAATGTTGCCGTGTCTAGGATATGGACGTGGAATAGGATAGCTGCGTCTTTATCCCACGAGGAGGGAGGATTCTTATCTCGCCTAATATTCTGGTTGACTGCATGTGTTGTTAGTAGGATTAACATGTCCGTTCTCTCACCGTTGGGGAGGAGGGGTGTTGATATCAAAGCTGGAAGGGGTTTCTTACTTAATCCACCGGCCGCCATGCTCATTTCTTGCATTCTGTCTGTGAAAGAGGCATGTTAGTCTTACGATCGGCGACTCTCTGATCGTAAAGAAAGTAGAAAAAGAAGTGCCCTTACTCTCGATGCTTCTGTATGAAGGTGGTGCTCCCGTCATGGCGCTGTAGGCGCGGGGACCAACAGGCCCTCGGAAAGGAGCGGCCGCATGTCCCGGGTCACGACTCACCCGCAGAACAAAGCCAGACTTGAAATAGTACTCGCTAATCTTAGCGTCATCATTGATGGGCAGGTAGTAATTCCATTCGACTTGTGGGGACAAGACCTGCTCGCTGACGGGTATCCCAAACTCATGTTTCAACACTTCCTTCAGTTGTTTCCAGGTGGACGATTCTTCAAGCCCCTTTTCGACAAGATTGAGCCGCCTCTTATCTTCTCTGCCCTGGTCCTTGAAGTACACATCCAGATATTCCGGAAGCGATCCGCATTTGATAGGGATGATTTCAATCTGAATACCTCCGGTGTCGTCTTTGCCGGTTATCTGTTGCTCGACACTGAAACCGGAGCCCCTGGGTTGTGCGACGAATTGGCGGACCTTGCCGTCCTCGCACACGATGCCGTCAAGCCAAGGCTGACCTGGGACGACCATGTAGTCTTGAACAGGCCCACCATTTTCGTGCATTGCTGCATCCTTTCTTGCCTGCTCTGCTCGCTCTTCCTTCGGAAACCCGGAGACGGCGTTGATACCACCCACGAAGACCCTGATGGCGAAGGGCAAAATTGCTCGGAAATTGATCCACATCGCCTCCCGCTGATACATCGTAAAGAAGAGACCGGATTTCTTGGCCACGTCGGCTGGAACCTGTTCGGCGTAGTCCTAGTCCGAATTAGTGACTTGGTATGACATGTGATTTGTTGTTGAGGGCCTGATATTGAAGATAGTGGACCTAAAGTTGCTGGTTGTAGGCGGAATAAGAGAGTAAGTTACGGAAAGACCAACCTGGACTTTATAGATCGGAAATTCACCTAAATTGGGAGGCAACGCGCTGATGCTTCCATGGTTATCGGGGACGCGGATCGTACGGTGGAAGGTAAGGATTAAAGCATCCTCAATGCCTTTATATGTGAAGCTCAAGGATTCTTCAACTATGTCAACGTATATCAGTGGAGGTTTGGTAGGATCCTGCACTCTGATCTGGACTCCGTTGTCCTGACTGTTCTCCTGGGTAGCCATAGTGAGAGAGGGGGTACGAGACGAGGCGCGGATAATGAGAAAAATTGCAAGAATTTGATATGATAGGATAGGTTGATCTGAGGTAGTTTTGCTTCTGAGTTGATTACGGGGTCCGACTGAGAGAACAAGACCAGGGGAAACTTGGGGACTTAAATATTAGTTATTTTGATATGGAGCGTATGAAGATATTGAGAAATACTCACTGTTGCTTTGTTGTAGGGCACTTGACTAAGACAGAATATTCGTAAGAGCTTAATAAGAAGCACCAAGTGCAGATGTTATTCTTTGATGCTATAGACATATAGCTATTGCTGCAGAATATAGTCTATGCACACTCTGGAACTACCGACTTAACTTGACCCAAGTGGTTTCAGCAGCTAACTAATTCAAACCTATCACACTCAGGGTTTTACTCTCCAATTCGAGTAATCATATTGTTACTGACTATAGATTTGAACATGTAATTACAAACATATTATTGTTGACCCAACTGAACTTTCTTTCGTTGCCAAGAGCAAATCCACCCAAGGCCCAATTTCTCAAGCAGAATACGATAAGTTGCCACGGCTGGGATGGGCTGTAGGAGAAGCTGCTAAACATTAATCAAAACGATGCATGTCTCTATGGTACTCTGTAAGTTACTGGCTCTATGGATATGACTTCATATCTACTGTGAATCTCTACTGTGAATCTCACCGGGCCTGGGCTGTCTTACGCTCGTGCATGCCTATATCCTCATCATATGCAGATTTGGCATTAATTTAACCAAACGCTCTCCTGTTGATCAAGTGCAATTACACAATCTGATACATAATGTGTGTAGAGACGCATCAGTAGGTAGGGAAGTGAACCAAGTTGGAAGCAAGACAAGCATCAGATATTCCATGGTGTACTCGCCTGCCTGATTGATGCGATATAGACTATTCTAAGTGCGGCTAACTTAACGGCTGCCTGCTCACTGGTAGACATTTGTGAAAGGCATCGTGCGGCGGGTTCTCCGTCATGGAATGAGACTACTGCGTGATGTACGATCACTCATGTATTCTCCCTTGCTTACCACGGCAGTTTTGGGTGTGGGATGGTTGATTATGTAATATATGAGAGAGCATTTTGGTCCAGTTGTCGATAGTTGATGATAACGGGAGTTGAGAATATCTACCTAGAGCTATTTTGTGGCCCTATGTTTTCTCTTAATACGAGTTAGATTATGGGATCTATGGCCGTTCTAGACGCTTTAGACGCTTTCATCAAATATGTGATAGTAGCCAAGCTGGTTAAATTCTGCTAGCAGCGCCCCGAAATAAATCAGGCGTTGTGACGCACCATCCCGGGCCAGAGCTTTATGCCCTCTCTCTAGGTGACAATAGTCATATATACTACCCTAACCCTCTGAATTAGAGCCTTAAGAAGCGGAGTTTTTGATGATCATGACCCCTTTTGATGTCCCGGGCACGGAAAAGAGACCGATTGGAGTTTCTGGCATATGGACGTGGCGATGGTCGACCAACAGCCAGATGATAATATTACACTAATGGAATAAAGAGGATGCCATGGTCCCTGACGATAGGCATTTGTAGCTTTGCTTTAGTCCGACTATGAGTATCCATCCGCCAGCGACGGTCTGGTACCTTGTCGTTGATCTTCACTCCAGAACCAGCCAAGACGGGTATTGGAAACATAGTTGACTCAAGCGATGCCAAGACAAGCCTCCACGGGCAACAAGCTTTGCCAAGTAGGCCAGGACAAACAGACATCAGGGTTGCCGGTGGACGGCAAATGCTAGTGTACGCATACAGTAGGTACTGGCTCAAAGCCAAGAATGCGAACTGAATACCTAAATTAAGCAACCTATTGGTGGAATTGCACGTCGCGGACCAGCGGGTAGGTACATACTTAGCTATGTATGCTGTATGCTGTATGCTGTATGCTGTATGCC